TCTTGTATTCTGTACATTCTGTAAATGTATATGGGTCGATGTTGTCTTGTTTCCTCTTTATTGTTTGCTTATACTCTTTCTGTTTTCTGTTTCCTTTGTTTGTTTTTTTGCGTTTCTCTTCTATTTCTGTCCTGTCCTTGCTTTCTCGACAGGTTCCTCAGCTTGAATTCAGTCTATAGAGTTTGAGACTTTCAAAGGGACTCAGAACTTGTCAAGGTCAGCAGAGGTGGCTGCTGGGATATATTAATGAGCCTGTGCCTTCAGGGAGAGTTAATGAAAGGGAAGCAGCTCTGCTCTTACCCCAGGACATTGTCCAGCGGTTGTTATGTTAATCACTTAGGCCTAATTAATACCATGCATATCATTAGCAAAGTGGGGATTCAAATGCCAGCATGTGTTAATTACTGTTGTAGAAGTCATCCACAGTGAATGGTGACCGTCTGCCAGCCCTTTCATGTGAGCTGGAAAAGTTTCCAGAAATAATGGAGAGGAGAAAACATACAGCCAGCAGCAGCTTTGTAGGCTACTATAACATATAACACAAAATGCCTATTTCTCTCAAATATTGTTCAAAAACTTGTCTAAATCTGTTTTAGTGAGCACTTCTCCTTTGCCGAGATAATCCATCCACCTCACAGGTGTGGCATATCAAGATGCTGATCAGACAGCATGGTTCTTGCACAGGTGTGCCTTTGGCAGATTTAATCATTTCTGAACAATATTTGAGAGAAATAGGCCTTTTGTGTTCATAGAAGAATTCTTAGATCTTTGATTTCAGCTCATGAACAATGGGAGCAAAAACAAAAGTGTTGCGTTTATAATTTTGTCCAGTGTTTAAAACATATATATATATATATATATATATATATATAAGAGTATGCACAGGTGTATGCATGTCTATATACATATATGCATTTTTTATTTATTATTTTGGATGGCTTTATCACACACAGAGGAATTGACAATAAAGTTGACTTTGACTTGGTATACTTGTTTTTCCTATAATTGTACGTATGTTTCTGTATTTTGACTGTTTAACTCAAAACCAGTACTATAATGTTACACAGGATGTTTGACAGTATCGTGTGTGTGTGTGTGTTTCAGGGGGATTTCCTGATATAATCTCTAGTCCTTTCATTCCTAATGAACGTCATTCAGAGTGCCACAAATCCCTTGACTTACTGTTGTGTTTGAGACGACGTGGGAAAGCCAGCTCTCTCCTTTCCTCTCTATTTGTAGGTAAATGTTCAAAAACACAGTCCAGGACTTACAGAGCAACAACAATTAAACAACCTAAAAGCACAACGGTTTTTGTGTGCACAAATCTGTCAGACTTTCTCTTGTACTTGTACAACCCTAACCCAAACTTTTGGGAGGTAATGATTTATATAAGGGCTATTGAAATATGTGTACTGGTAAGTTTATTTATCTAAAAATAATTATCTATCTCAATTATAAAAAATGATACAAATATAAACTGTGGGTTATCCAAAGGAAAGTGAGAAAAGCTTTTTTGTGTTTTGGGTGGACCTTGCATTATTCAGATGACCTTGCTTTGGGACAATCAAGCCAAAGAGTTGTTAAAAGGATAGTGATACGAATATAATCCCTGCCAACTTCAAAACCTTAATTAATTCTTAACTAGCACACATCATTAATTGATACCCATGCCCCCCCTGCAGCAGCCTCACACAGGGCTTCCTGCTGGGGAGGTAATTGTCAGGTTGGAGGGCCTTCAGAGGATTCTGCTGTGAATTCTAATGATCCCAACTTTCCTCCGCTGTCACTGTGGCCTGTTACTATCTAATGAACTACACTTTCCTTTAATTAAAGTATAATACAACTCTATCTACTAATAATACAAGCAATACGTGTGACTGCAACGAGCTGCAGCTTTTATAAGGCTAAACTGCTAATTATGCTAACACCTCTATTGTTATACAACTATATCTTTATTCAAAGTAACCTGTACTTTATATAAAACCTGCACTGTTGGTACAAATGACCTGCACTCGCAAATACACACTAAAATGTAAATATATTTAACAATCCTAAAATGTATACAGTATATATTCATTCAATGGATCATCGTTTGACCTTGTTGTTGTGATATCTTGTTTCAACAGTTACTAGTTGTATTTGTAATTGTATTGTCCTTTTGCTTCACTCTTACTCTGTTTCTGCTTTCACTAGTCCCCATGGAGATCAATAAAGGTCCTTCTTATCTTATTTTGTCATGTTTATTTGAAATATTCTGGAAATGAGTCCTCACTGTCTTCAGATGTCAGCTGATAAACCAAGATGGCCGTCTTTAGATGTGCACTTCTGTCCTCCATGAGCTCAGTGTGATATAATATATATATCATATAATAGTTCTCCTCAGGCTGAAGGAGAGGACTCTATTTTGATTCTCTTTGTGCAAGTGTTTCCCCAGAGTGCTGGAGATGGGGCACAAAAAAGACCATCTTAGCCGAAGGATGCCATGGCGACCAGCTTCTCCACGTCGACTTCTTTATTTCCAAAGTCCTTGAGAAGCACATGTCAAATCTTTCCCCCTGAAGCTCGTCCCTGTGCACGACCATGCATGGTCTTCTTTATAAAATGAAGCCAGAAATACCAATATCTCAGTACAGCTAAATAATTCAGCAAACCCCCCCCCCCCCACTACCCTAAAGAGCAGACACCTTACAACTTCACAAAGGCAGATGGGGGTCCTTGCACCGCGCTACAACTAAATGTGGCATTATTCTAATTAAGTAGATGAGTTCATTAGTGCTCTGGGGCTCCTGTGCTGTCTGCAGCAGGTCAGTGAAGGCCTCACTGGATCATCCTCATTAAAACTCAGTGGGCGCTGCCTCTTAACAGATGGAGAGCAGCTCCATTCCTGCTCGTACCTCTGCTCAGACCCAGCACTCACCAGGAACAGGCCTCAGTGAAATCCATTTGATTATGTATCAATAAAACAGCACCGGCAGCTGTTTCCAAGTTGGGATTCAATGCTCTGATGAGTGGACAACACTGCCATCTAAAGGATGAAGATAGTACTGCAGCCATGATAGGATGGCAGCTCTGTGACACATACTGACATTAAGGTAGCAGCTGCAGCACTGATAATAGAGGATCAATAATGTAATGACTACCTTATTAGTAGATGTTACGTATATGTGTTAACATGCACGTGCTGTGCTGTAAAGTGCTGCATTTATTATAATCATTATATTACAGGATATTGACTTTTCACCCAAAGCTACTGTGCCCTTTTGTTTACACTGTTTATTTAGATTGGTATATTAGAGAGTATTCTAATTTATTCTGTATAATGTATTCTTAGATACTCTTCTGAATTTATGTATTTTCTCCTCTGAATATGTATATATTTGCTTTTAATGTTTGTTTAATTGTATATTATTCTATTTTTAAGAAATAATGTAATTCTTGTACGATGAATGTTCAAAATGCTGCTGTGAGCTGCACTAATACAGTACGTTTGTATCTTAAATGGATGGAATAACTGTATAAACCATCTGTGTAGAGTGTTGGAGCATCTTTCACTTTCATTGTTTCAGTACACAGCCTGCTAAGCAGCACATATCAGAATCAGCCAGCAGCTGGTGAACAAAATATTTGTTGCATGTTTAAGAAAAGAGAATAGTTGATTAAAGCAAGACTTGACTTTTTTTTAAATCAAATACTTCACTTTGTTTTACAATAACCCAAGTACCTGAACTCTTGAAGTAACTCCTTTGTGTCCCATGCCTTCATTCATGGTGAATGGAAAATCTAAAGTTGGAGAAAGGTCTTGATGAATTGTGGTAGTTTTGAAACATATGTTTATATTCTAATCGTGTTTTATTTTTTTATCTCTATCTTTACTTTTGCTGTAAACAAATAAATGTCCCCTCTGTGGGACAAATAAAGGTATTCTGATTCTAATATAGTTTTGTTGTTGTGAAACACAACCTCAATTGACTTGAACTCATCGAGATAGAATTCTTAGCTCACCCTTGAGGCATGCGAGAAAATGTCTTTTTTTTCAAGTGAACTCTAGGCGAGTCTTTGAAGAAACACTCACTTTGCTGGTGAAGGATTCCTTTAAACCGTCAGGGCGTAGCACTCCAGTAACAGTAGCCATTAAGCATCCTGGAAGGGGTCTTAATTGAAACTGTTGCCATGGAGTTCTTTACCAGCTCTGACTGCAGTAGTTAGAGGGGATATATTTCAATAAGATTTACAGTGGGTTTGTGAAGAGGACTTACTCATGTCCTTGGTATTTCTCAAATCCTGGCAACAAAAGACAGTATGACATCTTACACATTCACCATATTGTTCCGGATGTCTAACTGTATCCAACATGTTTAGATATTTGATATGTGCTCCACTCCAGCAGTAATTCTATTGTTTAAAACCATTTCTTTATTTAGCCAACTTGTGAATACATATTATTCTCTTCTGTTGTGTTCTTATGTTTGAATCCCACTGCCTCGAGGCTGCGTTCATCATTAACCTTCCAAAATTAATCCACTTTGCTCGTCGTCCCACACACTCATCTTGTGTTCTGAGATAAGTGGCTTATTCCAGTCCGGCAGCAGACACACACGGACTGTGATTATAATGCAGAGGGTGTTGTCTTGGAGATAGTGGTGGATGGGGTGGGGGGGGGTTATGAGGCTAATTCCTGTATAACTTTCTCCCTCATTAATCTCAGAGGAGGGATACGAGATTCTCTAAATGCTAATGTCCAATAAAGATGTCAGCAGTGACATTTTACAGTGACGGCGCAGATGTGAGCGGAGTGATCCGTGTTGTTGTGGAAGAACTTTCCTCACTCTAATCTAAACTCGGCTCACTTTCATTTCCTCTCTGGGGATTACGCATCATGGTGTTATGATCAGCATATTTATGCTTTGTCGGCAAGTCATGATATAAACATTTTGTCCTAAGGTTGAGTTCTTGTCCTCACAAATAACTAACTTTTTGAAGGTCTCGGATCGTTTTCAAACTCAGGTTGATTTGGTTTCATTTAATCACAATGTTTACAGGAAATGAGTGGATGTCAATGTGGCAAAAAGATGAGGAGCAAACAGTGGAATACATCCTCCAACCTCAAGGTGGTTCCAGCAAACATCCATGGACGAAACATTCATCCTGTATTTCCTTAAAAGCATCTATTGATCAATACAAAACAAATGACGTATACATCACTGAGGCCTTCTGTTATAATTCACTTCCAGAGCAAAAGCCCTCCTTCAAATCCCTTTGTAGAGGATTAGTTTAACAAAATGAAGGTAGATTATGAAATGTACTGAAACTACTTCCTTTGCTCTTCTGTTCCAAGGACGCATCACTTAGAGAAAATCCCTGGTGAGGGGATTAGATGGTGTCCGACACGCTGCCCCTCGATGCTGAGCAGGAACTGGATGCTGCCAAACTTTCCTCAGTGTCCTAGAGAGCGTGAGCACACTAAAGGTTTGCATTATATCGATCTCTGCTCTCATGATCTCTGTAGGCGAACTCTGCATCCTTGGAGCCGTGCGGGATTCTTCCGAACGGAGCGTGGTCGTTGGAACACGAGTCGAACACTTCGTCCACTATTTTCTGCGCCTCCTCCGCGCTGATCTTCCTCACAGCGAGGATGGAGCGAAGGGCGCGGTCTCTGACACACTCCTGTCCCAAGAAAAACATAATGTCAGTGTTCAGATTATCACATCATCCTGAAACATCCCAGAGAAGGTCCGCTGTCTCCGGTACCTGATGGTGCTGCTTCATGCCGAAGTTAAATCTGGACACTTCTGAGCTGAAGGAGCAGTCTCCACTCAGGTTAGCCGCCCGGATCTGAAAAGATCACACAGAAAAGTCCTTGTACAATCAGTTTTGGAGCTATATATTGATTGAAATTATTTAATAGTAAAACCTTTATTTTCTTGTCGTTTTCGTTCATCGTAAATGTATCTTTTAATTTAGTGTTTTTTAAGTTAATTGAAGTAGTTGTTTTATGCTTTTATTTTGAAGGCAGCCTTGGGCACTGGGTGATATGTTCCTATTGGAGACAGTGTTTTGGCAATTTGTGTACACATTAATGTCAAAGAGCAATATTTTCCACACAATGGCAAATATTCAGAGACTTAAACTAGATCACCAACTAGCCACAGCTTCAGCTGCACATAAATACAGGCAGACACTCAGTCTGACCTCAGAGCAGGCCAGGTGCCTCAGGTTGTTGAACCAGTCCACGTGGGCCCGGCAGTGGTCGAAGGCATGGATGAGCTCGTGTGTGACCACCCTGTTCATGTGGGACTGCTGTTGGATGTTGTTCTGACACAAAACGATCTTCAAACAAAAAAACATCTCATTATCCTTGAGCAGCAAACTCTTAACATGATCAGAACCTCATCTTTATTAGTGCGCACATCTCCTACCTGAGAAGACGCCACGTCAAAGCCCCCGCTCACCGACCCATCACAATCTTCACAGGCAAAATGCCGGTCTCTGATAACCTTGCTGTGTCAGAGGAGGGCGTAGAGTCATCATGATGTACTTTACAGATGTGGATTAATGATGTGAAATATAATCAACTTTTAAATCAGACTTTAGTTACACCTGGAGTAAATTGAACTTGTACTTTTACTTAAATACCAGATCCGAGTACTTCTCCCCCTCAGTTTATATATTTCATTCTAAATTATACTTACCATCCCGAGCTGTTCATGGCACTGAGGAGCAGTTTGGCGTACGGACCTGAGAGAGACAGAGCAGTTAAAGCTGAATGTGGATCAATGACAGGAGCCACTGAGAGCTACATGTGGCTAACGCTACCTGCTGCTACTCTGACAGCAAGCTCCCAACATGAACACAGCAGGAGGATGTGAAATGAACAACACATTAGACAGAAAGCACATCATTCAGCTGTCCCTGCTGACAGGACACCAGCTTGCTAAAACACTCACTGGTTTCCATTGCGAGCTTCAACATTATCTCACACTTGAATTGGGAAGTGAACAGGGACTTTACGAATGATTTCTCTTTCTTAGGCCCCGTGTTTCTCTCCGGGAATAACTCATATCCATATTCCTTCTCTTGTTTAGACTGGTCCATTGTGTGAAGTGTTAGCAGGAGTTAGCTACAGCTAGCAAGCAGGAGAGAGGTCATCACTGTTTTGTAGATCACGTGGTCGCAAAAGGTCAAAGGTAAAGAATGGAAATGGTTAGTTATCATTTAATTTCCATCGCTTTTATATCATAAAGTACATACACATAACAAACTCCAAAAGTCAATTAAAATAATATTTTACAAACACAGTTTTGTTTTAATAGTATACGGTATAGATCGTCTATTCATACCGTGCAGGCAAGACGTCAACTTCAAGCACCAAAACAACTGAGCCATTAGACGTGTGCAAGCTGTCTGTAAAAACTAGAACATAACAGTGTCGTGTTAAAAACACGACACGTCGAAAAGGTCCTGGCTGTTTTGTAAGTATATATTTTTTTACATTTTGTTTTGTTTTGTGAGGTGAGTTTATAGTATAATGTGTCGTGTTCTACGGTCTACCCATGGCATGGATGTATAGGGTCTACCGGTCTACCCGCACCCATTTCAGTCAGTTTGCGATTTTAGTTTTGTAGTAAGTGAGTGTTCGTAGCATAGAAGATCTTTGTTTCAACCAGCGCAAAGGCTGCTGGTACTCGGCTGTCATGGCTCCGAACGTAAACAGAGAGTTATAAATACCGACACATTTTACTTTAATATTTAGCCAAATTAACTGCAGGGACATTAGAACTGTAACTGTCAGGCAGAGAAACACGTCACAGGTACTTTAGAGGGTTCAAGGGTCTACAGGGTCACTTGAATGTACTTTATTTGCTCTAAATGTTTGGTATTTGTGCTAGCTACGTTAGCTATCTAGCTGCTAGCCTCACGCGCATGGCAGCATGATTCTCGTGTTTTCTACAAGGTAAACATTTCTGAAAAACGAATGTGTGTTTGGCAGGGAGAAACATGTCCGCGGGAAACAAAGCCATTGAGTTACAGCTCCAGATGCGGCAAAATGCGGAGGATCTGCAGAGCTACATGTCCGAGCTGCAGAGCTGGGAGACGGACATCAAGAAGAGAGACGAGGAGCTGAGGACCGGAGGACTGCAGCAGGACCAGGTCTGTCTGTCTGTCTGTCTGTCTGTCTGTCTGTCTGTCTGTCTGTCTGCACATCTGTCTGTGCATCTGTCTGTCTGTCTGCACATCTGTCTGTCTGTCTGTCTGCACATCTGTCTGTGCATCTGTCTGTCTGTCTGCATATCTGTCTGTGCATCTGTCTGTCTGTCTGTCTGCACAGCTGTCTGTCTCTCTGCACATCTATCTATCCTCTCTCTCTCCCTCCATCTATCTATCTATCTATCTATCTATCTATCTCTCTCTCTCTCTCTCTCTCTCTCTCTCTCTCTCTCTCTCTCTCTCTCTCTCTCTCTCTCTCTCTCTCTCTCTCTCTCTCTCTCTCTCTCTCTCTCTCTCTCTCTCTCTATGGAGCAGGTCATGTTCTGGCTGGTCTTCAGGTGTTAGCAGCTTGTTGTCTCTGTGTTATAGAAGACTCTCCCACCTGTGCGCAACATAGACTACAAAACAAAAATGAGGGAAAGAAAGAAGAAGAAGAAGAAGGAGCCAATGAGCAACGGAGACGCCAAGGCAGGAGAGTCAAAGGACGCCTCCAGGATCAAAGCATACGACTATAAATCATGGGACAAGTTTGACGTGGTAGCTAAAGCATCCTAATCAAATCTCAAATGGTCTGGTGAGGTCATAGAGTAGTTCACTCAGTATCTCTTCTTCTGTGGTGGCAGGACCAGGCTCTGGCAGAGATGGATAAGGAGGAAAGTCCTGCAGAGTCCAATGAGTCGGACTCTGAGGAAGCTGACCGGGACAAAATGCTGGCTGAGAAAGAAAAGGTAAGCACGGCAATAAAAAGCAAGTGAAGAGAAGGAGACGGTTTCCTAAAGCAGATTATACTTGTGTTTTCAGGGTAACGCGTTTTTCAAAGAGGGAAAGTACAATGATGCTGTGGAGTGTTACACCAGGGGGATGGCTGCAGACCCCTACAACCCTGTGCTGCCCACCAACAGAGCCACCTCCTTCTTCAGACTGAAAAAGTGAAAAGCATAGACGATAACAATATCAAGGCTGCTGTTTTGCACACAAACTATGTATTTAAATAGTTTGAATACATGTAACAGTATGCAGCCTGTCTGTGTTGTTCTAAAAGAGTGTGTACCCCCAGGTATGCTGTGGCAGAGTCCGACTGCAACCTGGCCATCGCTCTGGACAGCAACTACTTCAGAGCGTATGCTCGGAGAGGAGCAGCGCGGGCTGCCCTGAAGAAATATGAATCTGCATTAGAAGGTGATCAACTGTTCAAAGGATTAGGCCGTCTGTTGTGCACACTGAGGTCACAATGTGAATATGTTTCTGTATAGATTATGAGATGGTTCTCAAGCTCGACCCAGGGAACGTGGAGGCACAGAATGAAGTGAAACATATCACAGAGGTGAGCGTCAAAGCATCATTCCAGGGTTTAGCCTCAAGTCCTCTTCTCTTTATCTCCTCACTATCATTGACTGCTTTCAGACTCTCCGACATCAGGCGCCTGCCGTCCTGAGTGAAGCCACACAGGAGGCCCCCACAGTGGCCCCGGAGCAGCAGGGAGGACAGGAGGAGGAGAGGAGACAAGAGGAGGAGAGAATACAGGAGGAGCAGCAGAGGCGACAGGAGGCGACTGTACAAAAGGACAGGGTGAGCTTTGCCACATGTTGGGGGCTAATATTACAAATATATGAAACGGTGTCCATGTGAGGAGAAGTTGTATGGTTCCAGACATTTTCATTCTGCCATTTCATTTGTCACTTTTTCTTTAGGTTAAGAAGAGTGTATGGTTTTGTTCTTATATAAGAAGTAGGAACAAGCCAGATGATATGATGCTGTTTCTTTGGGTTCTGATGTTCTTTGAACAGTCTTGAGAAGTAATGGAGCTGTGTTCATTTTGAAACAGTCTTTTGAAGTTTTCTGACTGCCTTTCAGGGGAATGCTTATTTCAAGGAGGGGAAGTACGAAGCGGCCGTGGAGTGCTACAGCAGAGGCATGGAGGCGGACAGCCTGAACGTGCTGCTGCCCGCCAACAGAGCCATGGCCTTCCTCAAGCTGGAGAGGTGAGCACAGCTTGTGCTTCTGCACGCACTTTCTGTTTAGAGTCCAAACTAAAGCCTTGCATATTGTTTTGTTGTGTTTGCTGCAGGTATAAGGAGGCGGAGGAGGACTGCACCAAAGCCCTTTCTCTGGATAGAACCTACACTAAGGCTTTCGCCCGCCGGGCCACTGCCAGAGCGGCTCTAGGGAAGCTGCAGGAGGCCAGACAAGGTGCTGTGCACAGCTACACTGTGCTGCAGGCGAACAGCAGCAACTCACTACAGCAATACACAATATACTGTATCTAGGGCCGATACATGATGTTAGTCTGTGTCTCTTTGGTTTCCATCTTTACTTGTGTGGAAAAGTATGTTTTGTTCTGGTCAGCCCGTTCAAAGATTAGACTGTTTTTTTATTTCGAGACAAGGTTTAACTAAACTTGTAACCATCTTACTAAAGTCATCTTAACTTGAATTGACCAAAGAATCACCGAGTTAAAACCAGTGTGTGTTTGTTTGTGTGAACAGATTTTCAGGAGGTGTTAAAACTGGAACCAGGGAACAAGCAGGCCCTGAACGAGCTGCAGAAACTCCACATGGTATGTTTTCCTCGTAGAGACTGATGTACTCTACTTGGTTTGAACCCCCTCTGGCTTTGAGCATTGATTCTGGAGGACTCTTTGGCACGTCTCTCAGGTTTGATCCTCACCAGCCTTCTCGTGTGTTTCTTACTGTGACTGTGTTTCAGGGTGCGGCCCCCGGTGGCCTGCTGCAGACTGCAGACGGCTCACACAGGAGAACCGTCCAGCCCATAGACAAGCCGACACATCTGCAGTCAGCTGTGAGTCTCTCCTGATCACTGTCTCTGCACGCTGCCACACTGAAGGCAGATTAGTGGAAGATAACGCTTAAACTGTGGTGTGATCTGACTATATTCCAGGTGAAAGCTGCAGGATAATGTGTGTTTCTTTTTGAAGGTATCCTTTCATTATTGAATGTATCGTAGATCACAGAAGGTTATCTACAGTTCATTTACACTACATTATTTAGAGGCAGTGTTCATTTTGGCAGCGATTTAAGATGTATTCTTCAGAGTTATTCTAGTGTAGGTTTTAATTCATGTTACTCACAATGTTTAAGTCAAGTTTCAGTTTTTCTATTTAGTGTTGCGTCAAATGTCACTTTTAGTCATCACATTATATTAAATATTTCAGTCTATTTAGTCTAGACCAGGGGTGTCCAACTCAAGGCCCGGGGGCCAAATCCGGCCCGCGACTTCATTTCATGTGGCCCCACAAGAGCTTGCAAAGAATATAATATGTTTATTATACAGTTACATGCCGCTTTACAGAAGCACATTGCCCATAAACTACATGTCCCACAATGCATCTCAAATTAGACTTTTTTTCTCGGAATTTGACTTTTTTTTTCAAAATGTCACTTATTATTATTTTTTTTTCAGAATTTGGCTTTTCTTTTTAAATCATTTTGTGACATGCACACTGAAGAGACTTGCAATTGTTTGCCCTAGACTTCTGCTTTCAGACGTAGTTAATTATGAAGTTATTACCCTATCCGATAATAATCCAATGCAGAGGCAATAATGGTATATAATACATTATTTTATATATATTAAATATTTATATATTTATTCTTATATAGTCTTATATATAAAACTGGCCCTTTGAGTGCAACCATCATGCTAATGTGGCCCGAGTTGAAATTGAGTTTGACACCCCTGGTCTAGACAAAGCCTGTACATTTATTTGACACAAGATTCTATCTAATCATTATCGGATTCAAAAAGTTGAATTACAAAAATGATATGATAAAGCGTTCCTCCTTGTGATCAGCAGTATGGACATTTGACAAGCTAACACATGAATATGAATCAAAGAGTAGATGATCTGATCGTCAGTTATCTGACATACTTTTTTGTAGTTCACTCTTCAGTGTACAGCTTTAGCGTTGTTTGTCCAGCAGGTGGCAGGACAGCTAACAATGTAAACATCTGGATTCTCTCATCTGCATGTTGTGATAGCATTGCTAGCATCTGGTGAAATCAATGAAGCTTTGGACTGATGGTGAACATGTTGTG